AATAACACCCCACCCCTTCTTCAAGCCGTTGGGCAAGCCGTGCTTAAAAATGTCTAGTTTTAGGGCAGACTGGAGTCAGGAAATCATATATCTTATATCAGATATGAGATAAACAAAGACAAAGAACCCAGATTTGAGGGCTGAGCCAAAATTGCTGCAAACAACCCCCCCCCAAAAAATGCCACTACTATTTGCAGGTAGCAAAATTGAGGGGGTGTCAGAGAATTCCGGCGGAAGCAAGGAAAGAAATTGCCGATGCTTGCTTATTTATTCCATGTCCAGAAGAGAAATCAATCCAGCAATTATTATTGATATTCACTTGTCAGGGACGGGCAGGGCTCCGAGGAGTGGGTGGATGAGGTCGCAGGGCCAGGGTCTAATCCCGGGGTAGTGATTTGTGGGATTTTGTGTCTCCTGCAAGGCAGAGCTGAAGGTTTTGGGGTGGGGTGTGAGCAGTCAGAGATGGGATAGAGATGCGGGACAGTGGAAAGGAGCAGGAGTTGGAGGATGATGGTGGTGTGTGGTCAGTGGACTAGAGGGACTAGGGTAGTCCTCTATATGTTCCCCTTTGCCAGGCATGGAGAGTCCTCGTCTCCCTTCGGTAACTTCACAGATATGAATTAACGAGCATTTGATATATTTATAGTTCTTTTATTACAGCATCACGTTGCAAGCACAAATACAGTGGTACCTCGGTTTCCGTTCTGGAAGTCCATTCTTAAACCAAAGCCATTCTTAAACTGAGGCACGCTTTCCCTAATGAGGCCTCCTGCCGCCAGTGCCCTTCCACCATTCGGCTTCCATTCGTAGACCAAGGTAAAGTTCGCTAACCGGGACACTACTTCCTGTTTTGCGGAGTTCGCATACCAAATAGTTCGTAAACAGGGCTGTTCTTAAACCGAGGTACCACTGTACACAGCTCTCCGCAAGGAGGCCAATTGGCTACTCAAAATTCTCCTCACAGCAACAGCAACCAAGAGATTGCATGTGCAGGAGAAAAGAGAGTAGTGTTTCCTAGGATAGTTCAGTCAGTAGAGCATGTGACTCTTAATCTCAAGGTCTGGGGTTCGAGTCCCACCATGGGCAAAAGATTCCTTCATTACTGGGGGTTGGACTAGATAACTTGTGTGGTCCTTTCCAACTCTATAATTCTATGATTTTATGATTCTAGTAGTCTACCTGTTTGTTTGCTTACTCCAATATCTGCCAATAGCCCTTGAAATTAACTGGGTCAGGTGGGAATGTGCAATAATTCTTAAAATAAAATAAAAAAAAATCTTGAACTTTGCCAAGTTTCCCATGTTGCAGCTCATTGCTAAATTCTGATGCAGGGTGGCAGTTTGCAAAATTGCTGGGTAAATACCAAGCTCGCGGTCTCGTCATTGGCATGCCAAAAGAAAGCAACATCTTTCAACTCTCCTAGCTCCTAGGGACAGGACGGATGGATGAGAGGCAGCAAGAAAAATGAGGGACTTTCAGGGGCAGCTGTGTTTTACTAACCCAGTCATAATGCCCCTAAAAATCCTTATTGTTCTTGCAATGTTCAGCTGTGATCGTCAGCGGAAAGAGGCTTTCAAAGGTGAGTATCCAATTTTGGTAAGAAAATCAAAGCTGGGCACTGGTTGGCCCCAGGACGTCAAAGAGGAGTAGCAATCCTACCTTTAACAGCAAATAAAAGGCAAAAATGTTTCCCTTTAACCATGCCTTTGGCTGATTGAGATCCAATGTGGGGGGTTTTTTGGGGGGGGGATTATTGAGATGTTTCCATTTTTATTTTGAATATGCATATTGTGCTTTTATATTGCGATTTCATTTTGTGAACCACCCTGAGACCTCTGGGTATAGAAATTTAATAAAGAAAAAATAAAGAAAGATAATAAAAAGCCTCAAGTTTTGTCTTTATGCTTTGCTGTTCTTGGTGCAAGTTTCCCACCTGCTCCCCAAATTGTTTCTCAAAACCTTTCAATTGTAGACAGATATAATATTGAAAGGTGTCTTCTTTTTCTTCTACTTTTTCATCTTCAGCGATCACTCATAGCCGAGTAAGATTGTCTTCCATAAACACGGTTTTAACAATGAGTCCGTAAGTGACTGTGGAGGCCAATTCTGGACCCACACGTCCTTCCACAGTGGGGACATTGGTTCCTGGATGGGAGTTGATAACGGTGTGGATTTGCCAAGCGTGCCTTCCTCTTAGCACATTTTTCCTTGTGTTCTGAGTTCGAGTGTCTTCAAAGTCCATGACACCTTTGGTAAAGGTTGTTCTCCAACTGGAGTGCTCGCAGGCCAGTGTTTCCCAGTTGTCGGTGTTTATACTACATTTTTTTAGATTTGCCTTGAGACAGTCTTTAAACCTCTTTTGTTGATCACCAGCATTACGCTTTCCATTTTTAAGTTCGGAATAGTGTAGTTGCTTTGGAAGACGATGATCAGGCATCCGCACAACATGACCAGTCCAACGAAGTTGATGTTGAAGAATCATTGCTTCAACACTGGTGATCTTTGCTTCATCCAGTACACTGATCTTAGTTCACCTGTCCCACCCGCTCCCCAAATTGTTTCTCAAAACCTTTCAATTGTAGACAGATATACTATTGAAAGGAGTGTGGTCTCACTCGGTAGCATTCTTGTTGCATTTCATGCAAATTAGTCCTTTCCCTCTTTCAGGGTCCAGATTTCTTTTCTTTTCTTCTTAAAACCAGTTTTTAAAGTTTCAATACTCATCTTTGAATATTGATGGTTGGCACGCACTTTGGTACCCAAATCCCCAGAGCAATGTTGCATTTTAAAAAAATGTTTCTGCGTTCTTTATTTAATAAGGCACAGAAGGACCAGAAAAATGTGTACATGTTGCGTTGTGTTTTGTTTTTAAGGCTTGAAGACTGCCAAAAATGTGGGGAGGACCTGGATCAATGGCTGACCAAGGGTTCAGCTTCGTTGATGTATAGCTGTCACGCAAATTGGAAAGCTGGGGAAGTCATAGATGAGGAAGAACCTGCTGTGATTTCTAAATATTACCCCTGCCTTCGCCCTTACCTTCTTTTCTTTTCAGCCAAGCAACACTAATTTCGTATTAATTTGGGCTGGTAGAATAAAATGTGACTCTTGGAGATGATAGGTAGATAGATAAATAGATGATAGATAGATAGATGATAGATAGATAGATGATAGATAGATGATAGATAGATAGATAGATAGATAGATAGATAGATAGATAGATAGATAGATAGATAGATATAGATAGATAGATGATAGATAGATAGATAGATAGATAGATAGATAGATAGATAGATAGATATAGATAGAGATAGATAGATGATGATGATAGATAGATAGATAGATAGATAGATAGATAGATAGATAGATGATAGATAGATAGATAGATAGATGATAGATATAGATGATAGATAGATAGATATAGATAGATGATAGATAGATAGATAGATAGATATAGATAGATAGATATAGATAGATGATAGATAGATAGATAGAGATGATAGATAGATAGATAGATAGATGATAGATAGATAGATAGATAGATATAGATAGATAGATAGATAGATAGATAATAGATGATAGATAGATAGATGATAGATAGATAGAGATAGATGATAGATAGATGATAGATAGATAGAGATAGATGATAGATAGATAGATAGATGATAGATGATAGATGATAGATGATAGATGATAGATAGATAGATAGATGATAGATAGATAGATATAGATAGATAGATAGATGATAGATGATAGATAGATGATAGATAGATTATAGATGATAGATAGATAGATGATAGATAGATGATAGATAGATAGAGATAGATAGATAGATGATAGATAGATAGATAGATAGATGATAGATGATAGATGATAGATGATAGATAGATAGATAGATGATAGATAGATAGATAGATAGATAGATAGATAGATGATAGATAGATAGATGATAGATAGATTATAGATGATAGATAGATAGATGATAGATAGATATAGATAGATGATAGATAGATAGATGATAGATAGATGATAGATAGAGATAGATGATAGATGATAGATGATAGATAGATAGATAGATAGATAGACAGACACACACACACACACCCCTTTTCATACACATAATGCAGGAGACCACATCTCCCAATTGATTGCTTATCATCCTGGATTTCCCCAAAGCTTTTCACAGATTTCAAAAGATTATGATGTGAGACCCCCTTGCTTACCAAGCCTTAGGTTTGCCAAGTGTGCTGCTACTCAAATAGTTACCCTGCTCCTAAGGGGTTCTGAGGCATACTTGGGCTGAATCTACACACACATATATATAAATGCTGTGAAAATTGTTTTTTTGAAAAAAAAGTTTTAAAATATATATGGAATTGCCAGTAGCTCACCAGTGCCACCTAGTGTCACATTTGTATAATGTGCTTAAAACACACTTCAAACATATTTGCAGCTGTATAGCTGAGTCGCAGGAGGTCCATAGGAGAATGGGGGGGGGGTATCCCTTCTCCCTCCCCCTTCACATCCATCTTGGAGAATGCAGCATGGACCTAATTTCCTCATCAGAAATCCTTGTGTGCCTCATAGCTACTGGGGATCGGGATTTGTCACTTGCTCATCATGGAAACACTTAATAAGGTTGCATATATTTGATTTGCATGCTTTCCCCCTGCTTCTGCTAGTCATGAGGAGGGACAATGCTGGACATTGATGCTCTGCCCACTGACTGCTTAGAAATCACATGTCATTTCTTCCCTTGTGGCTTCTATTTTTTGCCAGGCAGAGTCTGCATACTGTTATGCAATTTTGCAGTCTTTGCCTTAGCATTTAAATTGTCAGATTCGTTATCCAGTACCATTTCTGGATTTGTACGGTGGCGATGCATATAGCCTTGTTTATGATGTAATGTTAGCAGGGAAGTCCCGGAAAACGCACATGATTTGGGGACGCTTCCTAGGCTTTTTCCAGAATCTAATCTGTTTTATCCTTTTGTTGGTCCACAGGGCCCGTGAAACATGGTTGTCAATCTGGGAGACTGTGCGGAGCGTCGTTTCTCGCCTCCATGCCAGAGAAGTTACACTGCATGCAAGATGGTCTTTTTTGTATGCCATTGAATGCATATTGGGCTTTAATGTCTGAACACTGTGTTTGGGTCCTGCGGTTAGTTGCAATGAGGGAGTATCTGTAACAGAACGAATCCCGTTCTTCGTGGCTCATTCATCATTTAGCTGGCTATTAGCTGGAGATGGGGCATTCCGATTCCTGTTGCCAGCTGACAGATCAAAGCAGCTCTATCCCAGAGGCATAACGACAGAACACTTCAGAACAGGTACTTTAGATTAGCCTAGAAAGCACTGCTGTCATTGGCCACCATCACAAACTGTTTGTGTATCATCTGATCAGAGAAGCTGCAAGGCTGTTCAGGTTTTTATTTGGGAGAGGGGTATGGGAAGGAGTACCCCACCATTAATACACAACTGATCTGGGGACGCGGGTGGCGCTGTGGTCTAAACCACTGAGCCTCTTGGGCTTGCCAATCAGAAGGTTGGCGGTTCGAATCCCCGCGATCGAGTGAGCTCCTGTTGCTCTGTCCCAGCTCCTGCCAACCTAGCAGTTCGAAAGCACACCAGTGCAAGTAGATAAATAGGTACCACTGTGGCATTTCCATGTGTTCTGGCTTCTGTTATGGTGTCCTGTTGCACCAGAAGCGGTTTAGTCATGGCCCTGAAAGCTGTCTGTGAACAAACACCAGCTCCCTCGGCCTGAAAGCGAGAAGAGCACTGCAACCCCATAGTCGCCTTTGACTGGACCTAACCATCCAGGGTTCCTTTATCTTTACTATATCTGATTGTCTGATAGGGTCAGACATGTGCAGCCTGGAAAGGGACTTGGGAACCACTTATGCAGCATGACTCCCTATCGACTTAGGACACATGTGCAGAAACCGACTTCCTTGCATGTCTGACCACCAGCCATAACAGGGCAATAGTGTTGGCAATTGGCATGTGCCAAATGGCTTGAAAGTACAGCTGTCAAAATAACTCTTCACTTTTTATTTAAAATAAATTTTATTTATATACGCCTTTGTCCAGTGCATTTGTACCTTGATCCTCCTACAAGAAGGTTGGGATCGCATATTTGGGGTCATTTGGTGTGTTTTTTCCCCCATCGCAACAACTACCCTGTGAGGTAGATTGGGGTTGCCAAGCTTTGGGGGCCGGTGGAGTTTTGAGAGAGTGCACCTCCTCTAGTTTCTTCTCTCGCTGCCCCTTGGTCACTTTCAAACCCCCCCCCCCCATCTCACCCTTCTGACACAGAGAGAAATAACATGCACACAAACACTGGTCCCATTTGCACTATGCATTTAAAGCACGATCATACCACTTTAAGCAGTCATGGCTTCCCCCAAAGCATTCTGGGAGCTGTAGTTGGTTAAGGGTTAAGGGTGCTAAGAGCTGTTAGGGGACCCCTATTCCCATCACAGTGCTACACTTCCCAGAGTGGTTAACAACAACAACAACAACAACAACAACAACAACAACAACAACAACAACAAAAATAATTTATTATTTATACCCCGCCCATCTGGCTGGGCTTCCCCAGCCACTCTGGGCGGCTTCCAAAAAGATATTAAAATACTGTAATACATTGAACATTAAAAGCTTCCCTAAACAAGGCTGCCTTCAGATGTCTTCTAAAAGTCTGGTAGTTGTTTTTCTCTTTGACATCTGGCAGGAGGGTGTTCCACAGGGAGGGCGCCACTACCAAGAAGGCCCTCTGCCTGGTTCCCTGTAACTTGGCTTCTCGCAGTGAGGGAACCGCCAGAAGGCCCTCGGTGCTGGACCTCAGTGTCTGGGCTGAATGATGGGGGTGGAGACGCTCCTTCAGATATACTGGACCGAGGCCATTTAGGGCTTTAAAGGTCAGCACCAACACTTTGAATTGTGCTCGGAAACGTACTTGGAGCCAATGCAGGTCTTTCAAGACCGGTGTTATATGGTCTCTGCGGCCGCTCCCAGTCACCAGTCTAGCTGCCACGTTCTGGATTAGTTGTAGTTTCCGGGTCACCTGCAAAGGTAGCCCCACGTAGAGCGCATTGCAGTAGTCCAAGTGGGAGATAACCAGAGCATGCACCACTCTGGCGAGACAGTCCATGGGCAGATAGGGTCTCAGCCTGCGTACCAGATGGAGCTGGTAAACAGCTGCCCTGGACACAGATTTGACCTGTGCCTCCATGGACAGCTGTGAGCTGCCCTGGACACAGATTTGACCTGTGCCTCCATGGACAGCTGTGAGTCCAAAATGACTCCCAGGCTGCACATTCAGGTCCCCATTCAGGACCAGGGAATCCTCCACACCTGCCCGCCTCCTGTCCCCCCAAAACAGTACTTCTGTCTTGTCAGGATTCAACCTCAATCTGTTTAACATTCAATCCCTCTTTGCAGCACTCCTAACAACTGTGACACAGCATATGATCCAATGGTGGTTTTGAGGAGTTCCCCTGTGAAAATTTTGAGGCCCCATAAGGATCTGTGACCTGGATCTGTATTTTTGTGCCATTGCAGCATCAACAATTTTGACAGTGCAGTCTACGGAGACAGATGTGATCTGTCATTTGATGGTGGAAAGGGGAATCAATGAATCCACCCCCCTCCTTATACTCTGTTCTCTCTTCCCATACAACTCCACACTCCCTGTTCCTCTCTCCCAACCAGTCCATTTCCCTTCCTCCAGCCTCCCAGACCACTCCATTTTCCACAACCTCTTAGTCATTCCATTTTCTGTTCAGCCGCTCGGGTACCGATCTGAGCCTTGAAAAAACACATTGAGCTGAAAGAGAAAATGGGACAGAGCATCATTCTTCCAGCTTCCTTCTTCAGTAGTTTCAAAGGTGGGGAAAGGTAACCACTTTTGCCAACTCATGATGAAAATCCTCAGGCTTTGCAGAGGAAGATCTCAAGAATGGTTCGGAAACTTCAGCAAGGAGGTTTGAGCATATTACACCAATCCTGGTCCGACTGAACTGGCTACCCATTAGTTTCCAGGCCCAATTCAAAGTGCTGGTTTTGACCTATTAAGCCTTAAGCGGCTCAGGACCACAATACCTCAAGGACCGCCTCTTTCCATATGAACCTACCCGCACCCTAAGATCATCTTCTGAGTCCCTTCTTTGTGTGCCTCACCCATGTGAGGTCCAGAGGGTGGCAACACGAAAACGGGGCCTTCTCTGCAGTGGCTCCCCATCTGTGGAATGCTCTCCCCAGGGAAGTTCGCCTGGCGCCTTCATTACACACCTTTAGGTGCCTGGCAAAAATGTTTCTTTTTCACCAGGCCTTTGGTTGATTCGATTTACATCCTATGCCCTTTTAAAACGTGGAGGTGTTTTTGAGGGGGGGGGCTATTGGGTGGTTGTTTTCATTTTTGTTAGGTATTTTGTGGTTTTATATCTTGATTTTATTCTGTGAACCGCACTGAGACCCTCGGATATAGGGCGGTATATTAATCCAATAAATAAATAAATTAAACATTGCTGCACTCCCATGTGCCCCAGTGGTAAACCTAGAATTGACTGGCTCAGCATGGCGAGATCTGTTGACAAATTCTCAAGACCAAGCCAGAGAGAGAGAGAAATGAAATAATATACAAAGTTTCTTGGGATTCTTCCTCACTTGCTTGGGGATTGGGGCGTTGGGGGGGCAGGGAACATCCCCTACCTGACTCTCTGCTGCATGAACCCTATTGTACCTTCAGGGCACCTCCATATTTCACCCTCAGCCTTCTGACAACACACCATGGGAACTCGGCCTATTGACCAAATGTTCTCACTCTGGAGAGCTTCTCCACCTACTACTGAATGGAAATGTCTTCTCTTGGTACAGAGGTGAGAGCCTGTTTTCCTTGGCAAGGCCAGTGGATATGATTAGCTTTATCTGTGTTTGGATTGTTGTCTTTAACACAGAGGAGAGGGCATTACCTCACCCTGGAGCAGGCTGCAGACCCAAAAGCGATTACGCCGGAATATTTTTAGTGCTCAAAACAGGAAAGGCCTGTTGTGGCTAAAAACATTTTGCGATTCCGCCCCCCCCCCTCCCCGCTGCCCCTTTTCTTTCTCTCTGCATGATCCCATTTTTATCCTCTTGTTCTAAGGCATCATAATGCCACGATGACTAGTTGTTTGGGGCGAGGGGGTTGAAAGAGGAAATGCTTGTGTGCTGGTTTTTATGTGGGAATGATTTTCCTCGGCTTCCTCTTGACAATAAATCATGCACGGCTGTTAAGACGAGGAGGAATTCCTGTCATATCTCCTCTCAATCTAGAGCCTCGAGTTTCTCTCATGGCCTGTGTACTCAAGTCGCTGGTTTTATCTCTGAAGTGTGGATCAGACACAGAAAAAAACAAACAGCAGACCTGGTGCATTCTTCCCTCTTGCAATGTCTCAGTAGCAAGTCCTCTTTTTCAAAAGTGTGCTTTCTTGTATATGGGTCCACCATAGGGTTGCCATATTTTAAAAAGTGAAAATCCAGACACAAAAGTTCTTGAGCTTTTTTTGTCTTCTGCCAAAGTTGTTGAGATTTTCTGGCAAAATCTCAAAAAAAGGGAATTTTTGAGCTATTTTCAAAGAACTTCACCAAAATCTAGACTTCCAACATGGGCTGCCATACGTCCAAATTTCTCCTGACGTTTCAGCGACAGCTTCCAGCTGCTGTATTCTGCCTGCGTCTGGGTTATTCCAGACATATGGCAGCCCTAACATACAGTGGTACCTCGCGTTAAGAACTTAATTCGTTCTGGAGGTCCATTCTTAACCTGAAACTATTCTTAACCCGAAGCACCACTTTAGCTAATGGGGCCTCCCGCTGCCGCCATGCCGCTGCCGCACAATTTCTGTTCTCATCCTGAAGCAAAGTTCTTAACCCAAGGTACTATTTCTGGGTTAGCAGAGTCTGTAACCTGAAGCATCTGTAACCCGAGGTACCACTGTACTATGCAACTTTTGCATATCTCATTCCTCCAGGTTGACTGCAGCTCATATAAGCACAATGTCCTCTTTTGCTTTGTGGGCATCTAAATTCGTTTCAACATGTCAAACCCAGAGCCCCCTCCAGGCATTATTAACCCTCTGCTGCTTCTTGGCTCCAGCCCTGCAGTTCAGTGGCGTAGCGTGGGTTGTCAGCACCCGGGGCAAGGCAAGTAATTTGCGCCCCCTAACCCGTGGATTTGCGCCCCCTAACCCGTGGATTTGCCCTAACCCCAGATGTTGCGCGCGGTGCGGCCGGCCCCCCCTGCACCCCCCATGCTACGCCACTGCTGCAGTTCCTCCTTTGCCTGCTTCAACCTCCCATCTCCGCGCAGAGATCTAAATGGGAAGTCAGCTCCGCTCCTCTCACATGGTCTTTCCCAGCCAATCAGGAAGCCTGTGTAAGCAAAGGGAGCCTACATCATGTGGAGCCTACATCCATGTTCACACCATACACTACGATACCACTTTAAACAATAACATCTTCCCCCATGAATAAGGCAGCATCTCAAATTTGCAAAAATACTAACTTCCTTTCAGAGGCTGCGGGATAATT